GATCACCCAGTGCATATGATGCAAGCAGATGGCCAGGCTGGACCTTCATTGCAGCCCCGAAGAACGACCAAAGTACGAGCATGCAACTGAATGTTTCAAATGCCGAGGTGGTGCCGGCACAGCCGCAGATGGGAGCTCCGCAGATGGGAGCTCCGCAGATGGGAGCTCCGCAGATGGGCATGTCGCAGATGATGGCTCCTCCTACAACCCAGGTCGGGCATGCTGCCGTTTTCTCGGGTGGGTGCTTTGGATGGAGGAAGAAAAGAAGAGGGCTACTCCTTTGTCTCAATACATGTGCTTTGTCTCAGTACATGCGTATGCAGGGCGGCTACGGTGGATCGGTGTCTGCTGGGCAGCCGCAGGGCGCCTACGGTGGATCGGTGTCTGCTGGGCAGCCGATTGGAACCAGCGGGGTGCGCCTGGAAGCATGTGATGAATCAGTTGAAAATTGAGCAGTGCCCAGAGCGATTGTCGGCTTTGCGCCTTGAAGCGTATGCTCGTACAAAAGACAGTGTCGTAGCAAGAAGCGTTAATGGGCTTTGGGCGCTGCTCAATCATGTAGTAGTTGGTGGATTGCAGCCATGCGCTGGCATATCCCAGCGGATTTTGGCAGGCGTATGCTGCGGCTGTCCCTTGGCTGCAACGCGGGATTGCCGCTAGAAGTGCTTTGGATGCACTTTACACCCATGATACAATTCTGATGTAAACAAATATCAGAAGACACAATTTCAGGGAGATCCAGTAAAAGAGACAGAATCAAACCATAGAGGCGTTTGGAGGACGCGTTTCGAACGTTTTGGCAAGTAGGCTCCTGATATGCAGACATTGGAAGCCCCCTCCAATCAAGATGCCATCCACAGATCCAAGCCATGTGTCCTGGTTCACGCTTGGTTCTCAGCAGGATCTTCAAACCAGACCTGTGCTACTTCGGGGCTTTTGTCGTTTTTGCACAGGAGCCCATGCAGACTATGACAATGGGATGAAGGTGAGGCCGGCACACTTTCTCATCTCGGCAGCATGTGCACATTTTGGGCTTGGTCTTTTGGCCAGGACGACGTTGCTACATGCGAGAGTTTTCCATGCGATCTGAGAGCTAGTTGGGGTTTCCCTGCGACGCCATGTGTTGGAAGCCTTGCCGGCTACCATTTTTTGGAGTGTAGCAGCACCTCACACGGCACGAGGCTGAATGCATCTGAAATAGCTGCATCAGCCTCTTGGCTATTCTCCCTAAGCAAGCCTATAATTTGATTTCACAATATTTTGCTCGTGGGGCTCCTGCAAAGCGAACGACCCACAGTACTGGTACCATCGTGTTTTGTTTTTTTCAAAGACTCATTCCTTACTTTCGTATTTAGTTGGAGCAGGAGCCCTGCCTTTTTGCTGGGATTCCCAAGTGTGATCATGACGATCCTGCTGAGCTTTGGAAGGAGAGTCTGGCTCGCGACACCTCGGATGATGTCCATTTTGGAGTTTCAATTCCCAGCACGGTGCGAGGTGTCCGCCCCCCCGGCTCTTGAGTCCTCGACGTAGTTGACGTCTGTGACTCGTGGGAAGACCTTCGCCCCGGCCTGGTGCGGGCAGGACGTGGGTGTTTTTCCGACAAGGAAAGGCATGCCGATCAACGAAACAAGCACCGCTTGCGACAGGGAGGAAGCGACGCCTCAGGTCTTCTCACCTTCCACAAGCACCATGTTGTCAAAGTTGCAGTGGCTGACTGATCCGCCATGATCGATTGATTCGAAAAGCAGGACGACCAATGACACTGCAAGAGGAAAAAAGAAATATCCTGGGCTGCATTCCACAGGATCACTTCTCATGCTCTTAATTTCACAAGAACACTTGCACCTCAGGCAACTCATGCCTATTCTGCATAGATTGGTGTAGTCAGGCTGCCCTGCATGCTGATTGCAGCTGAGCATCCTCCACATGTTGCATCAGCGGGACTTCAGTTTTGGAACCCTACGCCTTTGGACCTGCCTCCAAAGCAGACAACGAGTTATCAGAAAGTGAGGAGAATTCGGGATCTTTTCCGCGAGCATGTAAAGAATGTCAGTGAATGAGCGCAAGATCACAATCATGCGCAACCCAACATGGTTTGCTTTGACATGCTTACGGCTGGTTCGAGGGTGAGCATTGGCGTTGGTTGCTGGACATTCGAAGATGGGAATGCAGGTTGCGAAAGTCTGACTTGTGTGGTGCCAGTACGGCTCCGGGGTTGCAAATTCCCGGCGCCATCCATGGCCTTTGGCCACAATGCAGTGCCGGTCTCAGCAACGGACGGACGCCACGTTGCAGGGGTATGGCATGTCGGCAACCATCAAACAGAGCAAACAGGCAATGTGGGGCCGAGTATACCTGCTTTCAGGTGTGGGCTGTGCTGTTGGGTAGCGCGCTTAGCCTTTGACACCGGTTGACTTCAAGCAGGATCAATTGTGGCTTTGTATGACGCGCCCGCACTGTCCGCTTTGCGTCAGCGTTTGTACCCTGATCGTGCATTTGTTAATACTATGAGATGTTTTCGTTTTGCACCTGCAGCTCAGCTTTGTTGGGGAGGGTGTACAGGCTTTGGCTGAGACTGAGTAGGTCAAGAATATGTCGGTCGGGGTTGCTGAGCTGTACAGAACATGCAGCCTTGTGACACTCATCCTGTGCATCAAGTTTATGATAGCAGTTTTCACTAAAACTTCTTAAAGGACAAACAAACAAGCATACCAGAGAGGATTCACCAAAATAATCCAAATGCTACACCAGATGATGTGGAAAAGGCAAATCATGGAGGCCGCATCACTCAAATTATTTGGAACATTTGCCTTTTGGCCTTGGGATCATTTGGTCATCTGCGATTTGCATATTTTCTGAGTATGTTCTTATTTGGAAGCCGCATTTGTTTCCTTTTGAGCTTGTGCCTTATTGGGTTGCTGATCGATGGAGTTGTGGCCGCCTTTAGCCTGCCCATGACACCGTGGTGAACTCTTAAGCAGAGAACTGGCCGGCTGCTCCGGCAACAGTATTGACATGAGGTTCGGTCAACATTTGCAGTGGTCATTGGTGAATTGCGGGGGGATAGGGGGGACTCACTATGTCCTTCATTGGAATCGAATATTTGGACCCTGGCTCACGTGTTAATGGCATGTTGCAGTATTTTTGGAAGCGGCTGTACTTCCCGCACAGTTGAGCTCATGCAAAAGACCTGACTCAGATAGATGGAAGGTTGCGGGATGCGGATACCGGCCCCGCAAACGAGGAGAGCTTCAACGCGGAAAGTGCAGTCTGTCCAAGAACAGATGTTATGTCTTGTACAGGGTGATCCTGTGAACATTCTTCAGAGCAAACTGTATTTCCTCTGGAGACGTCTGCAAACACACTCATTTTGGCTTTTTGTCTTTTGCATGGTTTGGTTGCTGCAGTTTGGCAACTCTTCACCTGGGTATGGGTCAAAATTTAACCACCAGGGGACCGCAGGTTTTAGTCCTTGGTTCCATTTACCGGGGTTTCATTTTGGGTACCCATTTCTGACACAGCCACCTCGGCAACACAAAATGGATTGTGGATTTCAGACTTGACACGCTTCAGGTTTCGCGGCGCAACCTTTGGCCCTGAAGGCCAGGTCGTGAGGGAATCTTCAGTCACTTGATGTGGCCATGCTAAGTGTCGAATTCTGAGGTGGGCATCAACTGGCAAACCGGCTTTGAGTCTAGTTGGCAACGGGCTCTGCCTGGCGAAACCGAGAGGCGGGTTGAGCTATGCCGCGTGTTGCCAGCAGAGAAAGTCGGAGAGTCAGTTGCCAGCGGCATCAAAACGCGCATGGGCAGCTCATTGGGCAACTGCAACGCCTGTCGAGCCCACCCAACCTCCGCTGGAGGTAAGGGCGAAATGGCTCAGTTTTCTAACATTGCTAGCACTCTACTACGCCTTGATTGGCAAGAGTGTTCTTGGCGTGGCGCAGGACTATACACCTCCAGTCGCGGATTGGCCACGGAAGTTTCAATCAAGGGAGTTCCTTGAAGGAAGGAATATGTGGTTGACTTCCTCTCCCTATCCCCTCCTCTCCCTCTTGCTTTCTCTGTATGTTGAATGGCTTGTTGGAATAGGGACACATGCATGAAAGTACGTGCGCAGCAGGGGGGCAAGACTCCCACTTTGAACTTCTTCATCATCTAGCTTCCACCCTTTCCGTGGTCTTTCCTTCAAAGCCGTGCCACGCAATCTTGCTGCAGATGTTGCCAAGCTTTTGACGCGCGGCATCCTAGGACACACAAGTTGCCACGCGGCCGCCCAGGATGACAGTTGCCCCTCAGACACGTCGCGTGTCCAGACGTGATCACTTGTTTCCATGCTTTGATTTCCCTTCTGCCGCGCACTGCCTGCCTATGCTAGAAACTACAGCTGCGAAGCGATTCGGTGAGCCGGCGTGTTTGCTCGAGCAACCCTGGGCCCAGCGCTTGAAAGAGCACGCGCGCGCGAGCACCCCAGCTACCACGTTTCCGGCAGATAACGTTGTGTGTGATCCGCGACGGATGAGGGCTATGACCTGCAGGTGCTTTAGCAAAAAGAGTCTAACAGAGAGTTTCTAAGCGGCGCAGCAGCAACTGGTGAAGTTCGAGCGGTGTGGACACGGCGCGCCCAGTTGGGCAGTCTCGGCAACTGACCCGATTTGTTCCTTCCCCCGGAACAGGATGCAGATCAAAATAATCACTTGAACACTGGCCCTGAGAGGATTTTGAAGTGTAGTTGCAGACTTTTTGTGTGGCCATGCGACGCCCCAAAGCGATTGAAACTGCAGCTAGTGCGTTTGGCAACAACATGGAGTGTAGGATGAACCAACTTAGCTGGGAGGTCTTGTGGGTTGCAATCTTTCACGGCGGCCACGCGCAAATCAAAACGCGTTGAAGCTGCAGCAGGCCACTGCGGGAGCTGGTTTTCCCACGGGAAAAAAACATTAAGTTGGAGAGAATTGCAAGATACGAAGTACGTCTAGCCCAATGTGCCAAACAGGTTCGATGCATGGTGTGTTTTGCAGGTATTTGATTGCCAGCTTTCCGAAAGACTTCAAGATCAGCTATGCGAGGCCCAGTGGGCAAATGAAGAGGTTGACGGACACCTGGCTTTCTGGTGCGGAGGCTGCCTGATCCAACCTGGCGCCCCCTGATCATCCGCAACCTGTCCAACCCATCGGTGTTGGCTGTGGATGAACAGAACCGCAGGTGGGACGGCAGGGATTCGGGAAATGGATTGCGCTGTGATTGATATGAGCCTCCACCGTCAGTGCGACACAATGGGGACAATGCTTTTTCTAACCACGGCGTTGCGAGTGACTTTGTAGTCTCAAGGCTCTTTGTGGCGGACGCGACAGCGAGCACAGTCTGGTGGTATCAGCTGCGGGCGCTTGCCTGAAGCTTCTGGGACTTGTTGGTGTTGTAGGCCTTTGCGATGCTTGTCACGTCACATGAAATCTTCCTAGGTCTCAGAACCCAGCAAGTTCCTTGTGACCGATGGCTCGGCGTCTCAGACATTGCGGGGGGGCGGGGGGGCTGGGTGCCGAGTCCTGCCTCTTTTGGAGAGTGGAAATAGTGAGTGAGGGACCTGCCCTCAGCGTGAGGCATCCAGCGTGTGGCAGCCACAAACATCGTGGCCAAGGGCTTGGCAGTCAGCCAGGCGAGCAGGGAGCGGCACGGTGGTCGTTTGCAGAGTCACCCTGGGGCTCAACTCAGTGTGCGCCAGGCGGGAGAGTTGTACATTTCGGGTCGCGCGGCCTCCGCCGCCACCCCGGGTCTCAATGCCATCTACAAGGCCCGCGGTCTTGCAAAGTCGGAGCATGATGGTAGAAACATTCCTAGTTCAGATTCGCCTCTTCACTGATAAGAAGCAGGCCGCTCTGCCTAGAGTTTGGGATGAATGCTAAGTTTGGGGCTTTGGGGCCCCCCAGATGCTGAGGGGGGGGGTGTACTCATGTTGGTCACTTGCTTGCCATGAGGTGACTGTTTCGGACCAGCAAGCTTTGCAGCGTCTCTGGAGCGGCTGGCGATTGTCCTTAGCCGTGCTTTCAGACAATCAAGTCCAAGGCATTTTGTGTGGCCGACGCTTTGATTCCGAAGGACTGCTGGGGATGGAAGCTGGATGCCTGTCATGCTGCCGCTGCGGCCTCAACGCCATCTCCGACGATTCTTGAGCCTTTGGGATGCTTCCTTCATGCCGAGGACAGGGCTACCCTCCATGACAGAGCCAATGAGCCCTTCCACGCAGAGCGCTCAGTTTTGATGCGCAGTTGACATTGGGCATGGGGGTTTCCTTCAGTTTCCACAGCGTGCAGCGTTGTCTCCATTTGAACGGCTAGCTTTTGAAGAATGGCTTGTCCCAAACGATGCCTCCAGAGGCTTTCATCTCGATGCCATGCAACGTGCTGCGGGTTTTTGAGCAGTCAGGTCTGAGATCTTCCAGCCGGGCCCCATTGCCGTAGACATGTTTGAGCCTCGAGTATTCCTCCATATCTTGATACTTGTCATGTCTCAGCCCCTGCAGGTTCACATTGTATTGGGGCAATCAGATCAAGGGGAATGCCAGCAGGGCTCCCAGATCGGAAGTGCCACGTGCCCAACGCCACACAGCCTTTACAGCAAAGCAGCCTGCTCTATTTGAGGCGCATTGGCCTCGGCGCCCGTAGCTGTGCCAGCTCCCTTGCCGGGTGCCAATACACCGAAGCTTAAGGCAGAGCGGAAAGCCAGAGGGTTCCAAAGGAGTCGCCTGCGAGGGACAGGTTGAGTTGTGGATGCGGCAGAAAGATTGTTGCCAGGCTGGAGCTCATGCGCTAGCCAACAATAGCCTGGAGTCTGTGACAGGCAGTGGCGCTTAGCAAAGGGTTGCCTCACCCTCATGCAAGCTTACATACCAAGCTTGTTTGCACCAGCAACCGAGGGAGCTTTGCCCCAAACACATGTCCCAATGTTGAGAAGGTAGAATGCGATGCGAACTTGTGCAACATGCCAGGCCTGGCTATCACATCGTCTGGCGTGTTCTTTGCCGGCCGGCCCACAGATGGCTTCCCGGGCATCTTTGCAGTGCAGGGGCCTTGGCAAGCCATGAGGAGATTTCCTAGTTGTTAGTTTGTTGTTTGCAGCAGACATTTCTTGCTTCTGCTTTGCCCGTAACCGCCCCGTTGAGACTGAAGGCCATACAAGGACAGCATCGCTGGCTGCAGTGAGGACGACCACTGCGTCCGGCGTGTGGCGCAGGCATGCAGCAGTAGTGCCAGTCTTCTTAATGTCATGAGCTTTGGAGGTGGCGAATCCGCTTTCGCTTTGCTGGGCCTTTCTCTCAGAAATCTGGCCAACTTTTCGGACATTTTGGGCTCGTGCTGCTGCTCGAAGGATTCGCAATGTGTCATCAGACCAGGCTTTAGCGAAGGTAAATTGCCCTATGTTACTCCTGATACCTCGAGGATGGAGACTCGACACTCTTTGTGGCAGACGCAGGACGCGCAGCCGGAGCCACAGATATTGGCCTCTGGAAAAGCTGGGAGAGACGGAGGGTGAACTCCACAGATCCGCAGCCATGGCGAGGTCATTTCAGTGCCCTCTGCCACAGCTTCGCGGCACGCGGTGGCGCGGGCCATAGCCAGGAGTGTGCATGTCTCCGAGTATGACCTTTTGCGCGTTTGGGCAAAGCCGGGGGCTATAAGTTGAAAGGAGACATTCAAGATGAAAAGGACATTATTAGAAGCCAACAGGGACACAAAAGGAGACCAGAGGGATATAATCATCAGGGAAACGCATCTACGGCAGAAAGAGGCTATGGGCCTTTGTTTGTAACAGGCTTGGGAGGCTTGCCTCAGAGCCCAAGAGCACACTTGTTGATGGTCGTTCAGCAGATTGCCCGGTTGAATCCAATTCGATGTTGGCACATTCGTGCAGGAATATGGTTGTTTTCTGACTCCTCAACAATGATGGACTTTCCGAGCGTTCGCTCTTGAACAAGGAAAAGGTGGCAGATGCGCGGGGCATCCGCGCCATTGCCATGCTTACAGTGCCAAGCACGGCGTCGCAGGCACCGTGAATTGCGTCTGGCCACTTTGTTCCAGATCACAGCGTGTCACCCCATTGCTTCGCCGCAGGTCACAGCAATGTCACTGGTGGTGATGCTTTCGATTTTCAGTCTGCTGTGAATTGCTGACAGTTTCACTTGGGATAATGAGACTCTTGTCCTGCCAAGTTCGGGCGGCATGCCCGATGCTCATTTTGGCTGGATGATGAACAAAAGTCTTAGTCATGCAGGTGTTCTGTCATTGGCATTCTTGATTGGCCAAATCCGCGTTGAAGAATCCTGGGACCTTGGAGACACTGCCATGACATGCTGGGATAGTCTTGATTTCAGTGCAAGACTGGACATATCAATTGTTAACGCACGGTCTGTGATATTTTGACACGACTGCCCGTGCCTCATGTGGTTCAAGAGAGCAAGTCTGCTGGCATGGACATGCAAACACTGCAAGACCACCTCCAGACAAGGCAGGATGCCTAATTCATGGCGCATCACGAAAGCTAGCGCTAGCAAGCTTGAGTTCCTACTTGCGTTGCAAGTGTTCCCGATGGATGCACCACTGTGTGATTACATCACATTGCAATGACACGACTCCCCTTCCCAGGCTCGAATCCAGGCGCCGGGAATCTGCGCACGCTGCACCAAACCGCACTATGTTGGGCTCGTAAAATGGGCAGGGAAAAACGTAAGGTTTAGTGTGCGCGCGTTGCTAGCTTTGTCCACCCCCTCTCTCAAGTTCCCTGTGCCACCTGACAGTCATTTTGTCACTGATGGCCATGCCGCTGGGCCTGTACCCCTGTGCTGACGGGGTTTCCGAAGCTCAGCTTGCAAGCTGCGCAACGTTTCTCTCAGTGCGTAGGTGTCAAAATTAAATCAGGAGATGGACCCGCTAAGCCAGCGCATAACCACGGCAAACCAAACATAGCAGCAACATAAACAAAATAAGAGCCGCAGGTTTGGTCCCTTGCATTTACTGTAACCAGCTTGCCGATCGCTGGTTCTCTGCGTGCCTTAGGAGCTCTGGCGCTGGCCGGCCCCCGGTGGCACTGTGGCTCTGGCGCTGGGCAGCGCCTGGAATGCCGCGGCGGCTGCGGCGGCGGGGGAGCTGCGCTGCGGTGGAAGTTGGCAGTCTTTTTCGGTTTTTAAATCAACAATAGAATACACATATAACTGTCCCGCGCTTTTGTCCGGCACGGGGTTATTTGGGACCGGGCTACTTAGTGTCATTCAAGTCATTCAGTGCCAGTCCGCTTTTGTGGACGGGCGCAACTGCCTGTTTTGCAGCATGCAGCTGGTCTTGGCTCTCCTTCAGCACCAAGACCAGTCAGTGAGACTCCCATTGAATTGATGAATTGTATTTGGGACAACACCGTTTCGTGAAACTGCCAACTACTAGTCAGCACAAGGCATTTGCCCGGCCAAGACATAAGGCTTCACTGCATGCAGCCGAATTGCGTGACTCACTTAGACGGTAGTCCTTGTACAGTTTGTCGAGCAGGTTGCCACAATGTCCTTTCTTAAGGGTTTAAACATCGCGTTTTGGCATGTAGGCCAACCCCAAAGCTTGTATCTGGGACCTCTACGGAACCTCAAACAGTTTCTCGCCATCCTGACGAGGCAGCGCCACTCAGGCCGTTTTTGAGAGCCTTTAGGCAACAAGCCTTTACCATGTGAGATGCCCTATGAGGCGCTTTCAAGCATTTCACCCGCGAGCAAACTTGAATGTCAACCAGGGGCCTGATTTCATTAGTTTTCCAACACTTTTGCACCGTGATGTGGCTTCGTGATGGTTGCAACAAAAGCCACGCTTTGCAATTTCATATTTGGCCCACATCCTAGCGGTTTGTTCAAGACAGGCAGCACTTTTTCGGTCTGCTTCCAGCGCTTCAGCCTGAAAAGGCGTGCCGTTTGGTGCTGAGCAGCAGCTGTTCATAGAAGTCCATGGGCTCATTGAACTGAGGCTGGGCTCTCGGGTCTCCCACATTGTCTCCGTGGGCTCCCACCGCAACTTTAAAGCGATTGAGGCCCTGATGGCTGAGCTGCTTGGTGCTTTTCAATGCTCTCTGAACCAGATGAGTCTGTGGTGGGGTCGGTGCTCGCAAGTTCTCAGCACGGGCTTGATAAGTTGTCAATCTTAGGCACGGGCACCGCCATATTGAGCACCATTTCTTCCGCATGTCGGATTGGCTTCGACCAGACGAGCAGCTGGATTTGAGCGGAGCTTAGCTTGCCGGGGGGTGCCTTCAAAAAGCGAGAGAGCGAAGGGAGCATTTTGTCTTTGCCAGCGCTCAGAGTCAAACCTCTACCTCTTTGGCTTTCTGGCCGAGGAAAGCTGACCTGGCTGAGACTTTACAGGCCTGCATGTTTTATTTTGTTAGTCTCCCCCTTACGTCATTGTAGTTCTGATTGATCCAAGCAGAGACCTAGCAGGCTTTGCAGATTGCAGTGCAGCCAATGGATTTCGCTGGGGACAGAGTGGTGCTTCTTCATTGCGACCAGGCGAGGCAGCATTGCAGGCTATCACCGAAACAGGTTTCGGCGTGTAGGCAATATGAAATCATATTTCAGACGCTGGGAGGGGTGCCTTTTGGTCTGGATAGTTCTCAGTTCATCCTTGACCGGAGTTACCCATTGGGCAACCTGGCCAGGGCCACAACCGCTCCCCAACTGTGGCCTTGGCTTTTTTTCTCTACAACGGCCACACGCTGAGAGAGGCCTCGGCCGCGCTGTCGGACGCAGCGATGTCGCCGTCCCTTTGCGCGCCCATGCATCCGCCCATTTTTTTTGCTTTGGTTTCACGGACTCTTCTAGACCTTAGCGAAGGCTGTCGCCGTTCCGTGACCGTTCGCCACCCGGGGCAGGCCTACCGCCGGCTGCTGTGCGTGCGGCCTGGCGTGGACCCACTGCCGCCCTACCGGCGAGGGCTTTGTGCACTGGAGGCGGAGCTGTGCGAAGCTGGGCGACACGCTGAGTTGTCTTGCGGCAGACATGTGGGGCTTGATCAAAAGGTCCTTGAGATGGGGATACCATTAGGGAAACCATCAGAAAATATGACTTTCACTTTCACCACTAAATGAAAAAAGTTACCCAGGGTCATTTTTGGGCCAGGAATCATGTTAAACCCCCACGTTGTTTCCATTAGTTTTGTACAGATGCCTGGAAGCTGTCATGAATGCTTTGGTCTTGCAGCACAGCAGGTCTATTTAAAGTATGGAGAGGCTTCAAGGGCAGTGTTTGGCTTGCCCAATCTGAGGAAGGGCACAGTGTTTGCGACTCGGACAATTTCGCCAAGCATGTGACAGAGCTGAAACTTGGCTTTGGCATGGATCGCTGAGCCCGATAAGACCCTTATCCACGCTCCGAGGATGAGCCTACCAGATCTGCGCGAGCTTGCTGGTAGTTGTCCCGCCCTGAGGGCTGATGTTATTGAGATAGAATGTAATATGGCTGGCTCAAAAAACCAGTACCAAAATGGAACCCTGGTAAGTGGAAACATGGACCAAAACCTGCGTAACCCCTCCTGTTTAATTTTGAGCCACACCCATCTAAATCACAGAGCGAGGCCAAGCCCCGGCCATGCAGCACGAATGTAAGGTCCTCCCGCCTTCCATGAACCGGAAGAGGACTTGGAGGACTCTGCTGATGTGGCTGAAGGCGTTGAACACTTCGGCTTGGCCGTTGCCGTTGGGGCCTGAGGTTGCTTCAGCACAGGCAGAGAACTGAAGTGCAACGCAAGCTTTGCATTTTGCAGGGAGAGAGAGCATGGCAGCATGGCAGTCCGTGACCCTAAGCTTAAGTCGTCCGGCCAAGACCTTTCCCGCACCTTTCTGGCATACAGCAAAACCAAGCAGAGAACAAAACACGAAGTTCGAGCGCTTTGCTCATGTTTGACTCTTCTCTGAGGTTCGACGCCTGGCCATTGCCGCGCTGCTCGCGGAAGTCGATGGACTTGATGACAGAAATAATGGCAGCTAAGAGCGTAGTGCTGCGGCCGAAACTTGCATCGCTGCTACACAAGCAAGTTGCCTGTCGCCGAGATGGCCCCAGGATCCATTGCTTACGCATGATTCTGGCAAGATTTTTATGGTTGAGGAGCTGTTCTTTGAGCACACCCCGTTGGCTTGTGCTTCGCGACCATTCGAGGTTTTACAGCCGAAATATGTTTCACCCAAACATCCACAGGAAGTTCAGTTGTTGCAACACGTTTCGAATGTCCAAGAGCAGGAAACAACGCGCAATATTCCAATATTACTGATTCAATGTTGCACCTGCAACATCCAGAGCCAACTTGTTATGTGTCTGGCGCAGCAGGCACTGCCGCTGCCTCAAGGGTGCAGAACTGTTGCCGTGAAGATGGATAGGGTCGCTGCCCATGCCAATTGTTTCAAGTGCTTGAAGGCGTATCTTTCATTGGGATCTGGCTTTTACGTTGAGAAGAATAATTTGTTGGAATTTCACCGCCGTTTGCTAGTTTATGAAGAATCATGACTGGAAAGCAGCAATTCCAATGAAGCTGGGCGGCGACGGCGACTGAGATGCAGTGCTTAACACATGACATGTTAGAGGACTCTGTTTGTTTCCGCCCAAGTCCGGGGTGCTTCGCATGCACTTTGTACTTTTCCGGACCTTTGTTTTTGTTGGCAGGCTTGAACATGGTAATAGCAATCCAAACTGGTATTCATGGGTCCTAGCTTGGATGGTGATTGTTTGCCCAGCCGGCTCGGGAGCAGCGGCGTGTTACATGCAACCCGTACCTTGAGAGCTTCGATGTTGCACCTGGCCCTTTGGCTCAGGTCGCTCCCACATGCAGTTCAAAGAGGCGCAAGACCATACAAAAGCACTGGGTCAAACTGATGCTCGCGGTCTTCGTAAGGAGTAGTATTTTTAGACAGGCACTCTGGGCATGCACATGTAGCAGATCAGTGTCCGCGGCTACAATCATGGTACATTTACCTTTTGCCTGCTGCTGCCTGGTTCAAGTGGGACCGAAACTCCATGTGTGACCCGCAAAGTGGATCGAAGCTCAGTTTGGCTTCGAGGCCAAGTTCAATCTGACATTGACAGACGGGACATATTATGAAGGGGACGGCAAAGTTGTTGAGGCAGGAGCCAGGCTAAGTCAATACAGCCCGCAGCACGCAACATTTGGATGATCCTTGCCCTGTTCGCTGCATGCCTTGCCCAGGGCATTGCCACTGAGAGGCAGGCATCATTGAAGTGTTGTCAATCATTCAATCGCACTCATGTACCGCAGGCCGACACGGGACGTGACCAAAGAGGATGTAGCGCCTGGTTTGCGAACATGTCGAACCGTGCGCTGTTGTGCCGCTATGAAAGCCAGCTTGACAGACCTGTTCCATGAAGACATGTGTAACCAAGGATTGTTGTGAAGGCTGTGCGCTTTTGCAGGCCGTGCGCAGCTTTTGTGGCATGGTGCGAACTACTTGATAGAATGTCAGAGTATAGGATCCTGGTAATGATGGGTTCTACCCATACTTTGTATTAACATGAGCTATACTGTTTCACCTAGTGTGCTCACCTAGTGTGCCCACAAAACTAGTTTCGAGCACCTGGTTTGAGAGGGCAGTCTCGCTTCTTCACGTGTTTCCAATCCGAAGAGTGTGACCTCGGTACTCCAAAGATGCCATGTACTTGGTGAACTCGTTCTTCGCCTGCGATCCGCATGTTGGATTAGTTTGCCAAAGACTTGTATGCATAACTTTGTGCCTTTTGAATTTGGGTGCATGGACAACAGTTTCTTTTCAGACTTCTTGTCTACAAGTGTTTGATGATGAGCTGAAAACATATAGCTCTCTTAGTTCGCCCGACTGGGGCCAGCCGCGTGGCTTGGTCGAAGCCGGCCAGAGCTACAGCCATAGTCCAAGGGCAAGGGGCTGGGGCCAGGTGAAGCTCCAAGAGCAGGGCAGGGGCCGCAGCCGTTGTCCAAGGCTAGCCGCCTGTCCCGAGGGCCCAACTAGGGGGGTAGGTGAGCATGGCGGATGGGGGCCTGTTCAACTGGCAGCCGCCGCGTGTTTTTGTCTGGGCGGAGTTTGCTGGGGCCAGGTGAAGCCCCAAGAGCTGAGTAGCCTTTCTTGAAAGGGCAAGGAACTTGGGGAACTTGGGGCCTCAGCTGGCTGGTTGAGAAGGGCCAGGGGCTGAACACATGAATGCGTGGCTAGTCCAAGGGTAGACAGCCTTGCGATGAAGGAGCCTCCAATCCCGCGGATGCTTCGGGGGCGCTTGAAATGATGCATGGTTACCAAGGACCAGAGATGGACGTTCTGAAGCAGAAATTAAGGCGAAGCCGGCACTGGCGTGAACAACTCACCTCACAGGAATTAGGAAACAGAGTTTCGAAGCTGGGGCAGCAGGAAAAAACGCTGAGGTTGCCGCTGGAAAAGCAAGCTCAACAGTTCCGACAATGAAGCCTGCCGGCGGCTTCGGGCTAAGCCAAATGCCCCTTCGCGTGTAGTTCACAATGACCAGACAGACCCTGAAGACTCAGGCACTAATTGCGGCCCCTGTAAAAGGAGCAGGACAAGGCAATGGACGACTGCAAACTTGGCCACCAGTGCAGGTAGAAGTCTTGGAGCGGCCAGGAAAGCAACGAATGAGCAAGGACCTGGCCTTTTCCTTCCAGAAGCTTGCGGAACTCCCGACCCTCCCCTTGGTCTGGGCAGAAATAAGAGAGAACGTGCCCAAACTCGGTTTCAAGGCTCCGCCCCATTTCAGTCATGTCAGTCATGTGGCGAGTGTACATCTCTGCTAAGTTGCAGTCTCGGGAAGCGCAAGATATTGGTACCAGGCCCAGCTGCAACCCGAGCAATACAGATGCGTGCAGAAACGTGACTCACACATGGCTTTGGTTCCACTTGCTGCGGCCCGCTAAAGGGCAGTGTCTGGCCAGCCTCGATCTCCCAGGCGTTTGAACGGCTATCACGCTGCTCATGTGGAGGGGTTCTCCAGAAACTTAGCCCGAGGGGTTTTGGGATTTCGGGGAAGACAACGACGTGTTCTTTTGCAGGGCCAACAAGCTCTCCCCTAAGGCAGGCCAACCCGCGCGCCACGCAGGTGGTGTGTGCCAAGAATAGGTCATTCGCTGCGCTGTCGGTCGTAAAAACCTTTGAGACGGGTGGCAGGAACACTCGCGGCTGCTAAGGGCTGCAAGAAAACAGGAGTAAGACTCATATCTTTGCGAGGACTGCCCGACAAAGGTAGGCGCGCGCAACTGAGACCTCATGTGAAGGAACAGCTGGTGGCTTTGGGTTGTACCTTCGGGGCGGCAGGGGCCAAGCCGTCCGACAAGGAACAAGGTCGCTTAGCGCAAAGGGCCGAGCTGACGCCAGTCATGGCAGGGAAGCGGAACTTTCTGGCATTAGCGCAGCCGCCGCTCGGGTGGCTGCTTTGCAGCCCGCCAAGGACTTTCGCTAGAACCCCTCATAACTGGGCTCACAAGGGCGGAGTCACGCAGAGCGTTCGAGCCTTTTGAAGGGGCCTGCAATTTCAAGAAACCGGCCCTTTCCACTGATGGCCCCACGAACCAAGAAACCCGCTTTGAGTCGGAGCCAGAAACCCCGCCCGGCGGACCTGCTTTGCCACACCCTTTGTGAAGCTTGGACGAAAACCCTTTGGGATCTGTTCCTGAACACAGCGAGACTTCGCGCGGTCGCCATCAAGGCGCTTTCGCCAGGCCGCTCAGGTTGTTTTGGCGGAGGGGGCGTAGGCGCTGAAGCCTGCCCTTTCTGCTTTAGAGGCCGTTACAGTATGCCAGCCCCACGCGACGCCCTGGAAAGGGAACTGACGGTGACCCCGCGGGCGGCCGCCAATCTACTCAACGACGCCGGGGCTAGGTGAAGCCCCAACAACTCAGGGCAGGGTGGCTTCGTGTTAAAACACAAGCTGGGAATGGGGTTGGGCCGGCGAGATCCCTATGATCTAAGGGGGCTGAGGCGCATGTGCAAAGCAAACAAAACGCACGGGCACTGCGCCGTAGCTCAGTTGCTGCTTTGTCCTTGATTCTTTTCGGGAGGAGGGCGCAGTCATTTTGACTTGAATTCCGGGCATGAACGCTCGATTGCCTCAGAACAGTGCACTTTCCAACGCTTGTCCATTCTTTCTCTCCCCCTGTGAAGATGAATGGTGCATGGTGAACGGCAAATGCCAGGCATGTCCGGAAATTGGAGTCGAGGTTGGTCCTGACAGGCCAGTTCTCGAAGAGCAACCAAGCCTCAATCAAATGGCTCCAACGCTGCCAGCGCCACCAGTCAGAAAAGCAGATGCTGTTTCTAGCTTCCCTGGTGAGTGACTGTTTGCTTGGCTGTCCAAGGCTGAAGCTATGCAGTCCATCCAGCGAAATTCTGGAGCCGAGAGCAGCAAATCTGCGGAGAAGAGGTTCATGTCGCCCTCTTGCAATCTAGTTTGGGGAGGACTGGATTGGCCAGAGTAGACAATGTGGACTGTCCTTAGTAAACTGCGCCAACCGCTGACGCTCAGCTTAATCCGCAATTCGGCTCTCAGGGTATCAGCCAAAGGATGCAGGGGAAGCCACCGATGCAGACCTGCTGTCCCCAAAACAACACATCTCTAGTCTTCGCATGATGAATCATGTGGGGTTGCAAGTGGTACCCTCCAGACTTGGCAACACGCACATTTCGCACTTGCGAGGAAAGAAACTGCCTGGCTCGAATGACCGCCACACAAAGCGTGTGCAATGTAGAAAGCTTTGGCTTTGTCAGACAGCCATGCATCCAAGGTTGATCCACATTCCAAAGACGGCTGGAGTCTCTTTTGGGCTGGATGCATCTTCGATTGTTCAACCAGCATCCTTCCGGGATAACAAGGTGCCTTGGATTTGTCATGAACAGGCAAGCAAGCAAGCAAGCAAGTTGATTGCCCCACTCTTGTCGCTCCTGATGCAAACTGCTCACATGCAGTTTACTTGCTCGTGCACAAAGAAACAAATGGCACGAGTCTCGTCAGGAACGAGCCTGGCGCCGCAGCTTGGCCTGGCATTTGGTCTCGTGGCTTCGGATTTTGCCTTTGCGCTGCGAGAGAGAGAGAGAGAGAGAGAGCCTGTGCAATGTGATATATATATATATATATGAAAAACAACCGCGCACCGTTTTTGCTCTTGCCATTCTGAGACACCTACCATGACGAGAATCAGCAGGACATTGTCATGCTGCGACACCCGTTGGAGCACGTGTTGTCGCTTCCTCAATTCATTCTTGCGGTCTTTTTGTTGCAGTATGAAAGGGAGATACTGGAGTCATCTCTGAGTCAGGTCCCAATTCATGGAGTGCAAGTACGACTGGTGGGGCAGCATGAGTGTGCGCGGCACAGCCTTCCCCATGGGTCCAGGCAGGCTTTGTACTGAGAAGCAAAAAACTGTGGGCAGAGGGCTCTGCGTGTGGTGCGCTTCCGAACCCCCGAAGCCGCCCAGCACAGCCGCCAAGCTGCCCTAACCCGCTTCGCTGGGCTGCCCGTTTCTTTGCGGAGCCAGGGGTCTATGGCGGCTTCGAGGCGTGGACGACTCATTTCCTCCAGTTGAGAAATGAGCCGGTGGATGGGATGCTGCCGGACAGCGAGGACAGCAGGGCGATTTTCATTTGACGGCATGGCAGTTGTGAGGGTATTTATATATATATATATACATATACACGCATGGTACCCCCCAACAAAAACCCACCCTTATTCAAGGTTTTATCTGGATTTTGGTCGGGGAAGGGGGATAACCACAGTAGCATAAATGATAGCCATATGGATCTGGACGTCACAGGCCTACAAGAATCCGTCTGGGCAAACCATATTTGCAGACCGATTGATCCAATGTCAATGTGAATGTCATGTTTTGACGTTGACAGTATCTTTTTTGGGATTCAAGATTCAACATTTCTGGAAAAACATGTTTTGAAATCTTGAATTGTGCATCTCGAATCCTTCTTTTTTAGATGTTTGGAATACATTTGGCAACGGCAAAACATGACAGTGGAACAGTGGACATGTTGCACAACATTTGGTGCAACATTTTGGCCAACATTTGGAAAAACAAACGAACAACCGGAATAAGAAACAAAACAATACACTAAAACACCGAACCATAATACCACCGAACAAATTCTACGCCCACCACGGCTGAACAGTTGCTTTTATTGTTCTGGTTTTTGTTTTTGGGTCCAGGGACTGTTGCAGCATTTTCCAAATGTTGCGCAACATTTAAAATTTAGCGAACCCAGCTGAGAGCCTTGGGCATGTTGCGAAGCATGTGCGACTTTGTTCAAACATTTGTTTGTGCAATCTCGGATCTTGGGTCCGGCCCAAACAAGTCTTTGAGTGTTTCCAGAAACTTTGTGCATTTTCATAGGCCCTTCATGTTCGATCTAGTAGGGGCGGGCTAGCTTGATCCTGATTAGTGAGGGGAAACATGACACGGACCGCGCAGCTTGACCTGTCTTTTGCATCGAGGAACGATGATCTGAACATACCGCATTTTACCGCAATTTCGACAGATCCACGTAGATTGAAACGCTTGCGCGCGCTGTGCTTGGCTCAGTTTGTGTTTAATTAGTTAAACATCCATGGACTTGGAAGAAGGAAGAGCAGTTGCTCAAAGCTGAGTTTGTCTTGAACTGGAAGCTACAACATTTTGCTCGCGTCTTCTTCTCATATTTGCTGTCCAATAAATGTTATTGGCTGTATTCTAGAAAACCAAGGTAGATAAACAATACACAAACTCGAGCAGATCTGCATCCTTTTTGGTTTGCAGAGTTTACTTAGAATGCAAATGGATCTGCGGAAGGACATGGAGCAATTTTATAATTGATTTGGATTTCACATAGCAATTCACATGGGAATGAGTTCATATCCCCAAAATTGAAGGTTTGCTGCTTTTCCTGCGAAATGATAAGAGTAGAGCCAGATGTACAGAGCCAAGTGTACTTTGCGTACTGCTCTTATACTAAAAGTTTCCCTTTGTTGAACAGGAGCCCCCAATCGCTTGCTGCAAGTGGATAAGATTCAAGATTCAAGATGCAGGAAACAGATGCCTGGACAATTGGGGACTATTGAATCCCATTTACCTGAACATGGCTTTGAGTCACGCCTCTCAAAACACCGAAAGTTGCAAATTTGCTAGATTCTTTTTTTTTGGGAGGGCTAGCATATAGGCATATCATATAAAACATTGGATCAAGTTCATTCATTCCGACTTTGACCGAGAAGAGCCAAAGGCAACTTCCATGAAGGCGAAGCCTCAAGCGAGCACTTGACAGGACTGGGCTAGGGAAGTCAGCTACCAGTGCTACAACCCATGGAATATGCAGTCCAGCAGCCTGGCTGCATGAACTTTAATCCTTCTATTCTATGTGTCCAGCATAGGTCCTGCAAGCTTTGGATTGGAAGGTGGATGGCGGATGGTTCTGAAGGGCTGAGAGGTTCCGGTGGAGTGGCAGACAAAACCGCACAGGAAGGATTTTGGGTTCAGGAGGTATGTGGGTGCGAAGACTCGGACCAAACTTGGCAGAGGGCTTCGGAGAGTTCAAAAGCGGACTGAGCATGTTAAGATCAAAACAGCTTGGTGGTTCTCACAAAAGCACTTGGTACACCTCGCCCACCTTGTACACGTTTTGTGCGTTGCGACTTGGTTGCGCATGTTTGTTGTACATGTAAGTTGCACGTGTTGCACATGCTTGCGCATGTCTGCTGAACGATTGGCAAAGCCCATACCATCCGTTGTGCGCAATGACCTGCCGCATGTTGTTTTCCTTTTGCACGTACTTGAACGTGCTTGCACATTTTGTTGTCAACAGAAGATCGTCCACAGCGAAACAATAACACGCACAACAAGTTGGAACCTGCGAGCATGTTTTCGGCGACGGCGCTCTGGGGGGTCGGGGAGGGGGCGTGGGGGAAATGTTCCAGGGGTGCGGCCCCCCCAGGGTTTCCACGTACTCTTGGAGCACTCTTGATGGTGTTGTTCCCGGCATATGATAGATTTGATAAACCAAAGCTGACATGTTTTCTTGGTTGATTTGACATTGTGAAAGCAACATGGTCTCAAGGGTTGAAAGAGACTGGTTTTGAGGCTGGGAAGTTCGTTTCTTCTCGTTGAGGATACATGGCAACGCTGTGGCAACACTGGGTTCCCTTTGGAGAGCTGGAGCCCGACATGCAGACGGCGACTCGCCACCTGGAGCGTGCCACGGTTGAACATGGGGATTAGCCTCACATTCTGCGCACCGAAGTTTGTTTTTGTGGCCTGCTACCTCAGTCTCAGTTCGCTTTTTAAAGAGATGCAGTGGGTGCGTTGTTGGAAGTCTTGGTGTGCGATATTTTCCGAAACCGATAGCTTTTCGTCATTTGGTGGAGCTTAAGGGGGAGGTGGCAAGTGCCTTCAGGTGTGGATGTCCTTGGCCTCCAAGAGCTCTACGTGGAGTCGCTGTGCCTGGTGTACCTTGCGCAGTGAGGAACTCAAGCCGCGAGCCGCATACGCCCGCTGTTGGCATGTGTGAGGCACGGCGCTCTGCCGGACACGTGCAGATGTGGTGGACCAGGACCTTGCAGCAAACATGGGCTGCCATGTTGCCGGGGAAGCAAGGTGCTGCGTGCCAGCAAATTGCCCCAGGACCTTTGAACCAGACAAGTGGCCCAGCTCAAAGTGTGAATGGATCATGCGTACGGCCTAGGCTTGCTCGCGCCGATCAGTGCATTTGATTTAGTGATAGAGAACACAAAACTTGCCCGAGACTTGACATGTGGCAGCATGAACACATGCCAACTTCTGACAAGGCCACGAGAGTCACAATGTTCCGCAACATTCGATCGAAGACCTGCCGGATGAGCTGCAGCAGAAGATGAGCAAGATGGTGCATCAAGATGCACAGCTCCTGGGATTTGGAATCCTCAAGATGCATGAGTGCGAAGGATCTAGCTGTTGTCCAAGCCGAAACCATTGGCTGCTTTGCAACTCCACTTGTAGCGGTCCTAGGCTCTTCGCGCTGGGGCTCAAGCGTGTGGAGACCGACTTGCGCAGGGCCGAGAAGCGCACCGGCATCAAGATTGTGTGTGAGGATCGGCTTGACGACGTGTGGCGAAAGGCTGGTCGTTTGGGAATTGGGATAGTGACGGGAGCAAACTAAGACCTCCAAGGTGTTTCTTTCAGGGCCGTTGGTCAAGAAGTTGCGCATTGCCTAGCATTGCAGCATGACGCATTTCCACACTCTATTGCTGGCTTGTAGAGGCCAAAGCTTTATTGCAACGAGTGGACTTGGCCAACGTTCCTCAGTTGCAACTGCAGCCGGCTGCATGTACATGTGTACTCAGATATGATGCGCGTTTCAAGTCAATATTTTGACGGTACAATCTTGTCAAATCAGCCTGAGACAGGCTGAGCTTTTTGGCTTCAGATGCTGTCACCCTGTAAAGCTTTGCTGGGAGGGGCATTAGTCATTAGGACCAACATTGAAAGCAGCAGCTAGAGTATGGAAGCAGGCAGCACACCGAGGTAACAGAGTTGCAGCGGCCAACAAGCTGGTAAGTCTCCAGCTTGATGGAGTTGTTGGGAATCACAGCACCGTCGACATGCAGAACTTGGACTACAGTATGCGTCAAGGATGCATCACGTTTCACAGCACGCCGAGATGCTGGCGCCTTCAACAAAACAAGGATGCTGCATTTTAGCTTTCTGCGAAGCCTTGGACAATCATTACAAAAATAGGAGAGAGATGACTGGAGACCAAAAGTCGTACTGAAGTATTCAGATCATGGGCCTGAGCAGGCCAGCAGCCTGCCAAGGAGCTCACGTCCAAGGCCTTGTTATTCGTTGCTGTGCGTCAGACATATCGCGGTTCGGTCGACATTTTGCCACGGCATGTTCCAGCAAACGAGAGGAGCACTAAAGCTCTCACACTCCAAGCCTTGCCCGCCTAAGGTGGCCAGGCTGGGCCGTGCCGGGGCCTGGCACAGTGCACTGCAGCTGCTGGAAGAGGCCCAATTGCCCACCTCCCTGTGACTCGTTGCAGTGAAAATGGTTTCTTAAGAACCCGCAAGTGACCATTTCCAGGTTCAAGCTTTGCGGGACTCTTGCGCTTTGCGATCCAACAATGTTCAATGGCAGACATAGCCGTTGAAACAGTGAGACGGCCAGGCCAATCAAGCTGGTCAGCTCGACGTGGTTCTTTGCAATGCAGCGGCCACACGCTCAGGGAACTGTGCATCGATACAAGGGCACTCATACTGCCATGCTTTGTCGAGAAGGGACGGGATTTGGCGCTCATGATAGAGCCGACGTGTTTACTCTTTTCAAAGACTTCCCCTGCCGACCCCCAGACCCAACCTCAAAGAAGACATACAACACTTAACTCGTTTTTTGACCCGTATTGAGTCTAATTGGCTTATCCTTAAGGGGTATTTTCCAGAAGTTCAGTGGTACAACCTTTGAGTTTTCTTTTGTTGGTTTGTTTGTTTGTCATCCCTGCGCCCGTGCTGCTTCTTTTGCAGGTCACTGCCTGTGGCCGAAGCCAGGCTTGGCAGGCGCATCGGGTTGAGATTCATTTGGCGTCCGGCCTCCGGGCGTTGCGTTTCACGCCGCAGGCGGCGGTGGCACTGCTGCAGAGTATGTCTACCAAGAGGCACAGCGAAAGAGCCGACATTCCAGATGGGAGTGCTGAAGCCTCCAAATAGCTCAAGCCGTTTTGCATGCGTTTGACTTCGCACTAGCCGTTTTGCTCGTGTTTGAGCAAAGGAGTAATTGGTATTTGCTCAGAAGCCAACCACCATGGTGGATGTGCATCAATCCATCTACAGATGAAAGCTGCAAGTCAAATGCACGACGCAGATCCGGGGGTATCACACACAAACACAAGTCACCATTGCAACAGGTTGGGCTTGCCGGCTCCCGACCAGATCACGGTGAATAGTGCGCTGAGCCTTGGTCCCAGCCAGGATTGTCAAGGGATATTAGCAAGGGCTGCCCCCCTGTGCCACCATCCCGTCAGAATAGATGGAGAGTGTGAGGGTGGGAAGCCAATGGAAGATTTTTGCAGTTCAATACCACTGCTCGGCTTCTACGATTTGCACCTTGGCTCGACTCCCGCTACACAGCACCCTTTCCCCCGAGGGGAGTAGGGGGATCTCTCAGAGGGAGATCCAGCCACTTGCAAGCGCCGCTGCAAGGTGTAAATAGAAGAAGCCGGGTAGCGGTGTTGATCTGCCAAAACCTTTCATTGTGCTAAGGGAGCTTGGGAAAGCACGCAGATGCTGGTGATGTTGTTTTCTATGCTCTCGGGTGGCTTGCCGCGCCCCAATTTGTGGAAGCTCTCTGTTTCGGAGGGTGTCGAGCATCGGTGCTCTCAGGCCCTGGATTTCTCTCTATTTGTTTGTTTCTCTTTGTTGGACCAGTTGAGGTGATGCGGAGATGCAGGAAACCTGCGAGACTGATGTTAGACGCTGGATTGAAAAACATTCAGAGAAGCGGGTGGGAGATTCGAAATGAAGCAAGACAGGGAGCCTTGCAGGTGGATCTGCGCTATCAATAATAACGCATTGAAAAAACATCACCACCGGACAGACACGGGATCCAACAAGGAAGGAGGAACTAAGAAAGACAGAAGGCAGAATGGCACTGAATCGGAAAAGAGCAAAGGAGCTCAAACAGTGGCAAAACGAAGAAAGGGAACTGGGCAGACAAAAGGTCAGTCACCCAAAGGAGGAACAAAGAATCTGGACAACGGGGCAAACACAGGATGCGAAGAGAAAGACGGATTGAAGAAAGAAGCAGAACGCCTGGGAGAGGGGGGATCGGACACGTGGATGGAGAATGAGCCAGAGCAAGTGGGCAGACACGGGATCGGAAAAGGAAGGAGAAACAATCAAAGAAACAGGACAAGTCGACAGAGCCCCCCCTTGGAGAAGCGTACCCATGACAGCATGACGCGTTGCACGCGGGCCTGTGAGCCAGCCTTCGAGAATAGTCTGCCTGTCTCCAGATGCTCTTGCTGCTTCCTGGGCGTCAGCTTTGCAGCTCCTGTGGGAGCTGAGAAGCGGGAGGCTGATGACATGAGCGTTTGTTGCCATGTGCTTCCCAGCCCCACCTCACACAGAGCTTCCTTTCGTTGCATATGGCAAGCAGATAGCTTGATTTAGTTTGAGTAGATCGAGCTTGCCCAGATGGTGGTTGCGTTTTGCAAACTAAGCGCAGAAGATGGAGAGGCTCCAGGAAGTGTGTCAATGGCCTTCGCTCGCAGATGGCTGCGGCTGCGGCCCAACACCGTGAGCTTCAATACGGTGCTCAGTGCATGTGCTAGGACCGCACAAGCGAACGCTGCAGCGTTCCCCACAGCTGCAGCCACAAGTTGAATCTATTCTCTCGTTGGACAGGAGCCAGCAGTGGCAGAGTGCCTTGAACTTGTGACCCGGCTGCATGGCGGTTCGTTGTTTACACTTCTGTGACGGCACATTTGAGGTTTTCGGCGCTCATGGAAGAGAGCCACGGCGACTGCACAGGTGCAGCTTTCAGTTGAAGTTCCACACATAAATTTCATTTGCGGTCTGCTAGAGAGGGAGGGTGACAATTCTCCAAAGTTGATTCCAGGCTGCCATTGTAATGCATCGCATTTTTACGGCAGCACCTATTTGGTTTGGTGGAACATACTGCTGTTGGCTAAGCTGCTTCGGCGGAATCTGGAAGATATTGTCAGATTTGTGTATGGGTCAAAATGAAGCTACCAGGTGACCGCAGGTTTCAGTCCTGGTTTTTATTTCCCAGGGCAGCCCATGTTGGGGTAACCCTATTTGTGACCCACAGCCACTTGTCCAATGACGCATGCTGCCCAGGCGCTCCGGACTTGGTCAGCTTCAACACGGCCATGTCTGCGTGCGACATTCGGATGGATTGGATGCAAGCTGTGGTTGGGCAACGGCCGTGTTCCCTTAGGCTTTCGTGGATTTGTCCTTTGCCGTGTCTGGAGGGTTTTTGGTTTGCCAATTTCGACGTTTCTGTTCTTGCTTCCATCAATGGGACTCTTCAATCTAGGGCGCTTGACCGATTCAAATTAGTTACCGGGTCTTGATTGATTCATCATCTCAGGAGCGCGTAAGCCGGTGGCAGACGTGTGCGCTATTGGCTGCAGCCGCAGAAGACAGAGGCTGGGCTGTTGATCATTTTGAGAAACATGATAATTGTATTTGATATTGGCGATAGGGCGCTGAATGTAGACTTGTTTGCCTTGTCAGGTTTGCAGCTGGACTTGGTTGCTTGGCTGGATTTTGGTGCCTAAATATAGATATGTGCCATGGTGAAATTCGACCATGGCTCATATGAATTGTGAATACAAATATATTATATGTATTATATACATAGATATAGATGCACATTTGCATGAAGATTGATGCCTGCTCGTTGAGAGGGAGGTGGTCCAATATGTGCAGAATTGTTGGCCAAGGTCTCCTTCAACACTCTTCTCAGCAGTAGCGCACGCAGCAGCGAGTGGCCACGAGTCGCTTCCTTGTGGATCAGCATTTCGTGTCTATCTTATGAAGAGAGCGTGTCTTTTTTTGGGAATCACCAAGATGGTGGTTTTCCTTTGGCTTCCCCACCAAACAAGGGAACCCTTGAAAGAGACACACCCATACAGGCATCCAGATTCAATCCTTGTGGTCTGATGGCTTGCAAAGCACTTGACGTCATTTGCATTTCGGCTTTGACATGTGCAAAGCTGATCCATGGCAAGGCGACACCAGCATCCAGCCGATCAGAGAAAGGGTGAATTTGTTGCATTGTCAGCAATTCAACTAGTTGAGACCACCTCTGTGTGCTCGAGCACCCAGCAAAAGAAGATCGCCCATTTCAAGGAGCCAACCCCACTTGCAAGAATACAATAACACACCAATACGCTAAACAGAGACACACACACAGAAGCACACCAAGCACACAACACATATCAAAGACACTACATATTAACACACTCCCATACCAACATATGACGCCACGCGAAAGCAAGACACATTGCAAGCTGCCCGTGGTCAGCTGCTATTGGGGTCAGCTGTCATCGGGCCCGCGCAGCGGCGAGCTGCGGCAGCCATGGCCACCTGACACCTCTGGATGGGTTTCCCTTCACAAATGGCCGTGGGTCAACACCAATGGTACCATTTTGGTTGGTAGGTGCACCACCCATTTCAGTCTATTTTAGTGGGTTTGGGATGTTCACTGAAAATAGGGGGTTTTGACCCATAGCCAAATGCAAGGGCTTGGTTGGATGCTGCATTGGATGCTGCAGATCTGAGGCGATCCTGTCTTTCCAGGTGCTGGCAGCGCTGGCCTTTTGGATTGCCATGAGCGCAGGTGCCTGAGTTGGAGCCGGCCCACAGCTTGTGCTTGTGCATGCGCGTGTTTAGGGGCTTGCAGAAGGGAGAGACAACGCAATCCTACTAGCAGACTTTTTCTTTCTTGAATGATTGACAACTTGCACCAAGGCCAGCATGATCATATTCAATGCTGCCTTGTTGCTTCCTGGTGGCATTCGTATTTGGTTCTGCCCGATGCAGGACTCGAACAGCACGGCAAGTGCCAGACATGCTACGAGAATGATTGAGCAACAGACAAGGCTCCAGTCAAAGCCATTTGGTGTCTGCCTTTTTGTGCTGTGTTATGGTGCAAGCCACGGAATGGACTCATGGTGATATCAAGATGTGTTGCTTTGCAGGACTTGCATGTTTGGCCTCGGTATGATTGGGATCTGACAAATTGACACGGACATTTATGACATCAGAGACAGAGCGATTTGGACTGAACCTCATTTGATGCCGCCACCACCACCAACAGCAGCAGCAGCAACAACAATGACCACCACAACCACAGCCACAACCACAGCCACAGCCACAGCCACAGCCACAACCACAACCACAACAGCAGCAGCAGCTGCAGCAGCAGCAACAACCACAACCATAACACAAAACCACAACAACAACCACAACTACAACCACAACTACAACCACAACGACAGCGACAACGACAACCACAACCACACCGACAACGACACCCGCAACCACAAGCACAACCCAACCACACCACCACCGCCGCCTCCGCCACCACCACCACCACCACCACCACCAACAACAACAGCAACAGCAACAGCAAAAGCAACAGCAACAGCAACAGCAACAGCAACAGCAACAGCAACAGCAGCAACAGCAGCAACAACAACAACAGCAACAACAACAACAACAACAACAACAACAGCAGCAGCAGCAGAACCAACAACAACCACAGCAACAACAACAACGTAGGCTTCCCCTTTCGCGGCCCTTTGAATTCAAGCCTCCTTTGCCGAAAGTGCTAGCTTTTGCCAGGTCTTGACTTCAGGCTAGATACACTCCCATCAAGAACAAACAAAAATGATGCAGCTACTTTTTGTGGACTCCTTCGCATTGAGTTAGCTGTACTTCCACAAAGCAACCCCCCCCCCCACCCCCCCCCCCCACCCCCCCATGACTGCGTCTGCGTTTTTTCCCGAATGTTGTTACCCTTCCCCCCACCCCACCGCCCACCCCCCCATGAGCTGCGTGTGCATCTTTTACCGAACGGTATCCCCTCTCCCCCCACCCCACCCCCGACCCCCCAATGGCTGCACACATTGTTACCCCTCCCCCCACAACGCTCCCAACCCCAAACGAAATTGCTGTCGGAAACGTTATAGCTTGACGAAAAGACAAAATTCAGAGGGCCGCGAAGGGAGAAGCCGACCCACAGCAGCAGCAGCAGCAGCAGCAGCAGCAGCAGCAGCAGCAGCAACAACAACGTCATTCACGCGGCGCCAAGGCAAGGCTTCCGTCATCCTGTATGGCTGACCTTCTGGCATCAAATAGCAGCCCGGCCTACTTTTCTTTCATGGCATGATATGTTTGCTTTGGCATGTGCCACTGTTCGCTTGCTTTTTGAGCGCACAGAACTCAGAAGAAACGCAAAGGGTTAAATACTTGACTGTGCATTGACAAGTGAGGCCAGCACCATACTAGTCTCCCTGCTGGGACTGATAAAGCCATCTTTGGTGTCCACCGGAGATGAGAAGGCTGGGATGGGCAGCTCATGTGAGACAAACGATTGCCGTACTTCCTGTGCTTGGAAGTTCAGGCAAGTTATGCTTCCCCAGGAAGGCAGGCCCTCTTTGACCTTCTTGGGCGCGCTCCGGATCGGGTTTCCAGTTGCGGCAGCCCAGTGTGTCGGCCTCATCGCCGGCAATACGGCTTCTTGGCCGGTTTGATAGCTTCGCCCTTCGCACAAACATAACATGCATGGTCATGAGCAGTCATTCGGCGGCCATTTGGCACTTTTTTTTTCTTTTGCAAGGCTGTAATGTACATCTCTGTCAGCTTTTGCCAGATGATAAAGGCTTGGACTCCAGCGCACCTTTCCTGCAATGAGCATGGATAAGCCTCCAGTAGTCTATCAGAGAGTTCAGGTTTTTCATGTATCCATCTCAGGATGGTCTACGTCGTGGGCTGCCTCGTTTGGCACTGAGCCGCGAATCAATGGGCCGGGACACGGCACACTAGTGATTGAATTGCGTGGATGTTAGGTTGGAACACAGAAGTTTTCTGGGGCGGTGGCCAAGACCTTGGCGACCATCACTGCAGGCCTGCCCGAAAAAGTCATGTGGTTGAGCCAAAAGAAACCAAATGCACGGAACGGTCGAGGCCTTATGATCACCAGCGTGGGAGAGCTGAAATTTGAGTGGCCGCTTGTCATTCATTCAAGTGTCCATGTGAAACAAGTCATATCAGAATAGTTATCGTTTCTTGCTAGAAGAAAGCACTCCTGGACGTAGATCTCAGACCACTTGCTGCGCAGTACAATTTGGATGAAGAGTTGTCTGAATTTCTTGTCTCCAAGGTACGGATTTGCCATGCAGTGCACTGCGTTGCTGTCTGAGGGTCTTCGAATCAATTTGCTTGGGTCTGAGCATAGTTGTATTTTGAGTTTCAATGCTGTCATCTCCTGTGATGGGGCATGTCACGTCCAGTCTGAAGGGTGTCAGAGCTGCTCAGTGCATTCAGTTCCAGGCTGGAGATGCTGCTGAAATCGCGCCTGGGCATGCTGAAGCTGTGAGAAACAATATCTGCAGCTTTGATTGAGCCTGTTCAAGGAATGAGGGATGTTGGGCTTGATCTCATTCAGGGCTTGCTTGAGTCTCCAGTGTTTTGCTTGCCAAGGGGCGGGGTCAAATTGAACCCGCTTAGCTCTGTCATGGTATTCGCGCCGGTTGCGTCTAGCATCCTCTTGCGCCTGGGCTGCTGATCTTGCCTTTCTACGAAGCAGTGGCGGGGCGATTTCAGAAGCTAAGATTCCAGATTTATTCGCATTCACCAATCCGAGGATAATCGGTCTTCTGACTGATGCGGATGCAATAACATTGGAAGCTACTTGGCTCACCTCGCACTTAGCTTTCTTCAACATGTGGCGTGCAACCGATTTCATGCTGCCACCTGCGCCTTGCCATTCCACCTTCATGCCTGACTGGCCCCCGTTGCGTGTCAGCATCTGGAGGTCATTCATGGCATTGGCGAGGTGGCCTTGGGCGTCAATGCGCTCATCGCAGCTGGCCTGAGTTTGGCGATAAAAATGTGCCAGTCTTCGCATGAGCAGAGTTTCTCAGAGATCAATTTGGCCAAGCTTGGTTCAGCTTGGCCATTGCCCAAGGCCTTCCTCTTGAACATTGCCATCTACATAGCTATTCAGGTCGCTTCTGGATTGATTTATGCGCTCGCAGGGATCGTCAAGGAGCCCGGTGCTGGATGATGCCAGGGAGATTCAAGAGGGCCTGGCCAGCGCTCAATTCATGGCTTGGCTGAACCTTTTTCTCCCCTCTCTCTCTCTCTCTCTCTCTCTCTCGCTCTCAGCCCCTCTTTCCCCCTCTCCCTCTCCCTCCCTCTCTGTCCTCTGTCCTCTGTCTCTCTGTCTCCCTGTCTCCCTGTCTCCCTGTCTCTCTGTCTCTCCGCGTCTCTGCGTCTTTGTGACTTTGTGTCTTTGTGTCTCTGTATCCCTGTCTCCCTGTCTCTCTGTCTCTCCGCGTCTCTGCGTCTTTGTGACTTTGTGTCTTTGTGTCTCTGTATCCCTGTCTCCCTGTCTCTCTGTCTCTCCGCGTCTCTGTGTCTCTGTGTCTCTGTGTCTCTGTGTCTCTGTGTCTCTGTGTCTCTGTGTCTCCCTGTCTCTCTGTCTCTGTGTCTCTTTGTGTCTTTGTGTCTCTGTATCCCTGTCTCCCTGTCTCTCTGTCTCTCCGCGTCTCTGTGTCTCTGTGTCTCTGTGTCTCTGTGTCTCTGTGTCTCTGTGTCTCTGTGTCTCTGTGTCTCTGTGTCTCTGTGTCTCTGTGTCTCTGTGTCTCTGTGTCTCTGTGTCTCTGTGTCTCTGTGTCTCTGTGTCTCTGTGTCTCTGTGTCTCTGTGTCTCTGTGTCTCTGTGTCTCTGTGTCTCTGTGTCTCTGTGTCTCTGTGTCTCCGTCTCTCCGTCTCTCTGTCTCTCTGTCTCTCTGTCTCTCTGCTTTCTTTCACTCTCTCTGTCTCGCTCTCTCTCTCTCTCTCTCTCTGTCTCTCTCTTTCTCTCTCTGTCTCGCTCTCTCTCCTTTTGTTCCCTTTTTTTCTCGCTCTCTCTCTCTCTCTTACTCTGTCTCTCGGCTGTTTCTCTCTGTCTTTCTCTGTTTTCTTCTCTCTCTCTCTCTCTCTCTCTCTCTCTCTGAAGGATGCCATGCACAGTTGCATTGTTGAAACTCGCTGAGCAGGACATCTCCATCATTATGGGCTCAGCTGCTTGCTTGCACACAATTCGCTGAATCTGTGCTGGTCGGATGAAAGTCTTCCGTGGGAAGCAAAGCACGTCTTGCCATCATCCTTTCAGTATGAGGATTGCCCAAGCTGTGACCCACGTGATTACGGTATTCCTCGGACTTCACAGGGCTGTTGTCACGCTTAGGGATGGCAGAAGTGCAGTGGGTTGATATCAACTCAAGACAGCCCACTTCCTCCATCCCTTATGCGACCTCGGGGTTCCAGAGTCTGGTAGCATGTAGTGCTTGTGACATGGGCTTCGTCCCAAACTCAGGTCAATTAGGATTAGTCAGGGAGGCAGTTTTCATTTACTGTGCGTGTGTTTCCCATCATTCTTATGTTGGGCGCAAGAAGCCGCAAGGGTGAGCGCAAGGTTTCAGGAAGTTTGACCTTCCTGTGAGCAAGTATGTTCTTTCTCATGCAAGTTCCAGGTCAAGACATGCATGTATATGCATGTTTAAGCAGAAGTTGCTTGGCAGCAGGCTGGCGCAAGTGCTTTTGCAGCAATCTGCTGCCCTTCTGGGACTTGTCCTGTTGTGAACTTGTGATCGAATCTCCTTCATTTGTCATTGTTGTATTTTTGCAGGAGTATTGCAGGGTAGGCAGGTTGTCCTTACAAGGCCTAGACATGGTTAGCCCACCAGTTGCCCACGTGGGCTGTGCTGGAGCTACCAAAGTGTCCTTCGCGCACTGCATTTGTACTGAACAGTTGCGACTCTCGAGCCGGAACTGCCAAAAGGTGCTTCGCGTGCTACACTTAGTACTGCGAAGTTGCGGCTTTCGAGCCAGAGCTGCCAAAGTGTAATGCCGAAAGGAAGATGCAGCGGAGCCCCACAAGAAAATGCAAGTGTTGAACAGGGGCGTGCACGAAAGCGCAAGGGCGAGTGCACCGGGCCGAAAGATACACAAGCGGCTACTTAGGAATTAGATAACCTCCAGCCTTTGGTCAGCTCATTGCGCACTTTGCTGGGAATCTTGGTGCCGCCGCAACTGGACTGAGGTTGTTCTAATGGGCAGCCCGGTCTCTAGCCTGCAAGTGCGGCTCTGGCCGCAGATGGGGTCAAGGGAGGATGGAGCCAGCGCCGGGCGGGACAATTGATCCAGTCGATAAGCCAATGCATCCTCACGGAGAGGATGAATGTAGTGACATGGTGTTAGAAAGGTGGTTTGATTTAAGAAGGATGGACCTGATGGGGGCTCTCAGGACTGAGCGTGACCTAGTCTCAGCCACTGTCAGGCTTGGCTATGCCGTTGCGCTCACGGGGATTCAGGCTTATGGAATCTCAACAGCATGTCATGCACGAGAAGCTTCAAGACCGCAGTTCGCAACCTTGAAAACCCGCAGTTTGACGCCTCCAAGGAGTGGTCAGCAAGGCTCCAGCTGCACAGCTGCAGTGCTGTGTTGCAGTCTGGATTTGATGGTGCACAGCGGTCTGTGCATCGAACTGAGCTGAGGCAAAGTTCGAGAGTGGGGTGCTTTGCGGCCTTCTCAGGCACATTCAGGCAGTGCCGGGAATTTAGCAATGCAACCCCTGTATGCTTGCTTTTGTCAGAATTTTCCTGTACGGTCCTTCTTGTGTTGTGCTCTCTTTGACAGACAAGACATGTGGGCAGGGAGCGGACGTTCCAACGCTGCCAACGGTGGCTCCGCAAAGTGTCGGGGCAACTTGGCAGCATCAGTTATTTGCACAGCAATCATGTTTTCATTGCGGAATGACTCGTGTTGAGTAGCATAAACAGCAAACACGCATCCTTTCAATCAATGCGCCTCCATCAGAGGCCAATGGAAAACAGAGAGAGAACGAGATGGTCGACCTTCTGAAGGCTTGCTGTTTTTTTTTCGTGGATGGCACACAGACCAAGCTCCGGCAGGTGGAAGAGCAGGACTTGGAGAACAACCAAGATTTGGCAGGCAGAGAGCCTTTTGCATCCAAGAAAGCGGCAGAGACTTGCGCTCGTGGACTGGGCTTAGTTTCAGGGAGATTGACAGAATTGTCCTGGATATGAGTTGTATGGGAATACCTTGGGCTGGCACTGCCTCGCCTCCGCAGATTTCTCTGAGACCTCTGAGACCCAGACCTTCTTCCGAGACCGCAACGGAAGGCAACCGTTGCTTGTGTTCGAGGGCATGGGAGTGACAAGCAAATCTAAGCGAAGCTGCCCGAAGGGTTGCCATTCCATCCGGGCTGCTCTTCATACTCTCATTTGTTTGACCAGGCACGACCTGGACCACAAAGACAGCGCTTGACAGCTTTGACTCCTGGCAGGATTGGTCTCACCTAGTCCCCAGGTTGCTGACCAGCCCGCCCACCTGTGGCAGGGTCTCTTGAGTTGGAATACGCTTAGTAGCAATTTGAGAGTGTTTGCAGGCAAACAACTCTTTGACAGAGACCAGGGCCCTTGTGCGCACACCAACTCGGGCTTGTGTGGCGCTGGCTCAGAATGGCCAAGCGCCCCGAATTGTGGGATGGTTGAACTCCTACAATGCATGATTCGTGCCGAGTAAGGCACGATGTAGTCATTGGCGTGCTGCAAGGAGCGTGAAGCCAAAATCTGAACTTTCCAGGCTTGACACCATTGTCAGATCCGATCCAGTTCATTGGAATCTGCATCGCTTTGGACGTGTTACCCCCAGCTGTTGTTGTGATCATCCCCAGCTTGAGGCCCTGCTATTGGTCACCGAGCTGTTGTCTGGCTGGCCCCTCAGGCAGACTTGGTGCCAGGATCGTAGTATTACGAAAGCCTATTCAGCCGATTTTCAAATTCTCACACTTCTTCATGTTGACTGATGGCCACTGCAGAGAAACATTGAACTTGCCACAGGCTGTTCCAAGCAAGGCTAACCCAGCCTGCTTCAGATTCTGACATTACTCACCCAAACAACGAGCAATGAGTTGTTTCTGATCCGTTGGTCAGATGGTGGGTGTCCACAATCCAGGTTGACAGGAAGCATGTGGCAGTTGGCTTACCCCAATTTTGCAAACAACAAGCTCATCAGGGGAAACGAAAACACTTTTTTTGCTGTCCGAGAGAGCGGTGGGGAGGTGGGCCATGATCGAAATGGCTGTGGGTCAAGCCAATGGTACCATTTTGGGGTAGGTGCACCACCCATTTTAGTGGGGATTGGGATGTTCACTGGGGGGTACGATTTGGATTTTGACCCATGGCCAAATGAGCGCAGAGGCGGCACGGCGGACTCTGCCTCGCTGGGTGCCGCCTTTGCGGCATGCGAGCAGGGGGCGTCGGCCGCCGAGACGGGCTTGCCTTACTTCCAGTTGGGTTTCGGCTGGTCGGACTTAAACATCACAGCCATGGGGTTTGGGTCAAAATGAAAAAAGGTCCATGTACCAGGGTTCCGTGATGAGCACCCATTTTTGGACCACAGCCATGTACTTAACTGAAAACCCGAAGCTGCGACTGTAAGTGGCAATTGACGCTTCGCACTCCATATGATGTGTTTATGGTCTTGGATGCCCCATAAGTTCGGCTTTTCACTTTGCATCGCTTTCGATTTACTCAGAGAGCTCAAGGGTTCGCACATCCTCGTTTTCCAAGGCAATGGCAGGCCGAGAGTGCTTGAATGGCCATGTTGTCAGAAGAACTGTGTCTTTGACAGCGTTGGAACGCAAAACATCCCTTTGACCTCGGTGGCTTGGCCTGTAGCGCGCAGCAGGTCCACCAGAGGATTTGGCATGAGTATGGATGTGATCCTCTTTTTTTGAGGGTACCCCCCCTTTGTTGTGGTTTTAAGGGAGACCAAAAGGACACCCTGGAGTCCCCTAAAAGAAGACACCCCCAAGTAGATCCCATCTCGGTTGCAGGCGGCCCTTTCACTGCTGCAGCATGCGCGGGCGCAGCGTCTGAGCGGCTATGGGGCGATGGGCAGCCTGCGGGTGGCGACCCAAGTGGCTGTGGGTCATGCCCCGCAGTTTGAATCCCCTGGGTGAGTGTTCAAATCCCGGCAAATTAATAAACGTAGAGCTCAGGGCAGTTGGGCAACACCTGAACGTGCCTTTGCGCAACACAGCTGAGCACATGATGGGATTTGATTGGGCTGCGCATGGATGCGATGTGAATCTTTTTTGGGGAAGAGAATGACAGGTGGCAGGCCGCTGGCAGGAAGCCTTGCAGCCCCTCTGGCTTTGGTCATGCAAGCTTTGCAAGAGAGAGCGTTGGCTTGAGGCGCGCGAATTGAAGGGCTTCGCCTCACGCCAGCAGAGAGAGATAAAGAAAGAGAGAAGAGACAGCTGACCAAGCAAGGTGGCGCGTGCCCCCATCTCAGAGGGTCTGCAGGAGATAGCTCAGCGTAAACGTGCCGATGCACAAAAACAACGAACGTGCCATGCAAGAAGCACTGTTTCCTGCTGCCTTGTCGCCGCGGATGGTGCGGAAGAGTTCCGATTACGCGGTAAGTTGGCTGCATTTTTTCGGCGGGCAGCGCAGAACTCTGCTTTTATCTCCAGCTTGTTTGTGCGCTTCAGTTCGCAGTGTTCGAAGCTGTGGCCAGCATTTTATGCTTAGTGACACATGAGTCGCATTGCGTGTTCCGCTTCCTTACTACAGACACCCTACAGCCACTCTCTCAAAGCATGCTTAGGCAGGCACGTCCTCACAATATGCATGCGAATCCAATTCATAGCAGAACCAATCAGCACCCCAGAAAATGAATGTCCTTGGTTTGTACAACACTGCTACAGATTCATTCAAGGCTTCCATGGTTAGTTACACTTATGACCATAATCTTGGCACGAAAGTGTCAAACTGGAGGGGTGTGTGAGGGTTCGGCTGCTGGGAGCGCAAAAAATGGTGTCACTCTGCCATGCTTCGTTCGGCCGCAGTTGGCACGGACCGAAAATGCAGAAGTCGGATGAAACTCCAGGTAACAAGGAAATATAAGGAATCCGTCCCTTGTGCGCCAGGTAAGTCGCGCGTCGTAGGGCAAATAGGGGGACGCCAGTGAAAGTCGGTGATCTGCTAGGACTGCTAGAAGAAAGAAAGCAATGACTAGCAATTTCCACGCCTAGCTATTTACCAGTTCAAGACACCTCGCAGTCGAGCCCAAGTCGCCTTTCCTGGCACATTCCCCAGAGTGTCGGCGGTTCCATGGCTTCTCAAGCATGGCAGACTTGATGCAACTGCCAGAATTCTGCAAGAGCTGGAGTCCAGCGGTGACGCCGATGTGGTCGCCTACAGTGCTGCCGGACTCGCAGTCACTTCGATTGCGAGTCGGCAATGACATGAACAATGTACGATGGAAGGGTCAGTTGGACAGTTTTGGAGCTGACATCTTGGGGTACTGCAAGACGCGGTCGAGCATCCTAAGCTAGGTGTGCCCAGCCCAGGCCTTGAGTGTACTGGAGAAGGCCGGTCGTTGGGAGCCTAGAGGTCTCAAGACTATGTCGATCGATTAGAATGTAGCATCGAGCCGCCCGATGCAGTGAACTTGGCGATGGGATCAGTCAATCCGGGTCCAGATCTGATGATCCTGACGTCGGGTGAAGCATTGGCGAACAAGGTCTTGGCATATCTTGCCTGACAGGCTGGCAGCTGGCTTTGAACTGTGTGCTGCCTGAGATGCACCTCAGATCTGTAATGCCCGATGCGTGCCCCACTTAGCTTAGTGAATGGGAGTGCAAACAAAGAATAGATGCGGGTGAAGCAATACAGGCCCAGAGAGTAGTGCAGTACTGAGTCAAGCTCGAGCTTGGAAGATCAAGCTTCCATTCGGTTAAGTTGCGGATTCTGTTCGAGCTCATTCAATTTCACATTGTGCACTGTTTGGCATGATCACATCCTGCGGTGAGTTTTTGGCAGCTTTGCCCAGGTACACCTTCTCGACACTTCTCCGCTCTTGTGCGGTGTGGGCATCCAGCCAGGCCAGGGACAGTCATGCCATGGTTCACGTTTGCTGTGCTTCGGAGGTTGGCGAGGCTGCTGTGAGAGCAGGTGAGGAGCTACTGCGTCAAGCGCAGCAGAGTGGCCAGGCAGGATGGGAATGACGGACCGAGCGAGACTGTCTCCAGAGTTCCGTAGTTCCGGTCCAGGCCAATGAGGTGGTTGTGGCAGCAATGCTGCGACTTCTCGAGCCCCGCTGCCAGAGTTTGCGGCTGGACTTGACCAAGTTTGCAAGTCTGGCCCAATGCCGTGGTCCGTTGGCTTTGCCAGGCAGGCAGAGCTCTGGACGAAAGCGCTGGAGCTGCTCAAGGAACCGAGTTTTCGGGGGAGCGCCGCAGGTTCTTCCACGGATTGATGCGTCCCAAGCGCACATTTACGGATTGTCGCCTTGCTCCTTCCCTCATTTCTATGAGAACTTGATTCCTTGCTTTTCCTTGCCACTGCTTGTTCTGGCATGCCAAGCACGAGCACCTGCAGCGTGAAGCCGGCATGCTATGGCAATGCTTGCTGGAGTGCCAGGAGCATCGTCGGAAGCCACAGCCTGATTTGAAGCCACCACATGGTTCCCCAACTTCGTTGGAATGCACTGAATGTTATCTTGTCAACGAAGGCGAGACGTGCACTCTTGCCGCCAGCCAGTGCCTTTTCATCAGGCCGAACCTGATACACTACGCCACTGCTGCGAGCGCTTGTGCAAAGGCCACAGACTCAAGCTTGCCTAGCCTCCTCGAATCCATTGACCACAACGTGTCTTGCGATGTGCCAGGCACGTCGCTGGGAAGCTTGTTTGGCATTGCTGCAGCAACTGGATGAGGCAGGGGCGCCAGCGCTGGATTATGCAGGCAGATTCAGCCATGGCAAAAGCCGTTCGAGACTTGCTTTTGTTTCAAGGCTTCTACAACGCCAGACGTAGTGGTGCGGAGTGCCACCATAAGCGCTTGTGCCTGCCTCATGGATACCTGGTGGCATGCTTGTGAATTTGATTTTTGTCATTGTTTGCCTTGGAAGAGCGCGCGCCTTCTTTACAGGTAAGCAGGAAGTTCGTTTCCCCAAGCCGCGTCTCTGCGCGCCGCCCACTGAAGGCGAGCGCAGCTTCCAGTGGCAAGAGGCTTTGTTGCTCTTGGCTGCTCAGCGGCATTGGTCGGGGGGGAGGGGGTGGCAGCAGACTCCTTGCTAACTGTGCTTCAATACCAAGGTTGGCATGCAGGAGGACTTGGTGACTCCTGATTCTGTTGCGCCAGTTGCCCAGCTGGTATTTGTTGGCATGATGTGAAGGTCGACGCATTTGCCTTCAATAGCAATGGACGTTTTTTTTGGTGCACGAATATGCAAATAGGTACTTCTATCTTCTTTAACAGCGGAATGATGCACAGGGCGCAATTCTGTAGTTTCAACAGAGACCAGATGTATTTCATTTCATTGCACTCCTACAGATGAGGGAGACCTTTGGTTTGTAGACATGGACTGCAGTGCTTCTGCCAGATCGCGTTTCGCCAAGAAACACAGGGTCCTTGAGCTTGTCAGGCTGTTAAATCGCTTTGGACAGTCCGAATCTGGATGAGCTTTGTTCGCTGGCAGGGTCTAACGCCCAATCTTGAGCCAACCGCCATTGGCTAGCCATGCTCGCAACTTTGCTCATCGCTGATCGTTTTCAAAGGTATAGCGCCACAATGTTAGCCTGCAACAAGGCACTGGCGCTTGCTTGCTTTGACTGGTGAGAGCTTGGTCACGAGAGACGTATGGTTTGGGCGGGGCTTGTTCGCGAGTCCAAAGCGGTTGCCCGCTTTGTTTGGAAGGCTGGCCGCTGGGCTTGCACCTTATCGCTTGGATCATTTACCCGGCACCGCTGCGTTGAGCTTTCGTCTCACTTTAGAAACCGGCCTGCTCCGACTCAGGACCTGTCGCTGCAGCTGATGGATGCTGCCATCAGGTGGGACACATCCATTTGACCGTGGGCATGGCCTGATCTGGTTTGAAAGGCAAGGCTGGCAGGCAGACGAGGAGATCTCAGCCCAGCTCTAAGCGATCGGAGTGATGTGAAGTGGAGCGCAACCGGAGGGTCTTTGTCTCTAGCGCAAGCCCTTGCGCACGGCGAAACGCCCCGCGCGTCCGAGCTTCCCTCAGGTGCTCAGCGCCGGCCTGGGGGCCTGGACGGAAGCACAGCAGTGGCAGCGGGCCCTGCTGGTGCTGCACCAGGATCGGAGCCGGAGAGTGTGACCTTGTGAACTCCAAATCGGTTTGCTTCGGGTTTCCTTTTCACCTTGTCCAATGGCTTCTTCCGCTTCTTCTTTTGGGCATAGCCTGACGAGCTTGAGTAGGGGACAAAACCACCTTGTTGTCTGCCCCATACAGCAGGTCTTGGACAATGGCAGTTTTTTATGTCTTCGCCTGGCCAGATTGAACTCCTAGCGGCGCGAGCAGAGGCCTTTGATTCACTTGTCATTGCGTGCTGGAGAGCATGCAGCGTCGCATCCAAGATTCCGAGATCAGGCAAAGTGCTGGCTGCAAGAAGCTCACACAACTGTACGGCTCCTATGGTGCCAGCCACCCCAACTCGACCATTGGCTCTTTTTCCGCTTGAAGGTGCTAACCAGGATCATTTTTCCGTGGCACTCGGGGTGTGCCAGAGAAAGCTGACTTTGCCGCCTTTTGGCAACCTCGTTGCCCGGCTTTGGTTTGGTGCGCGAGGGCCGAACTGAGGCCATGTTTGCGGCGCTGCAGGCCGGCGCCTGGGCCCAGTGCCTGGCAATGCTGCAAGGCGCGGCCGGGGCGGCAGGGATGAGGGGATGAGGCTGAGCCAGTGGCTTGTCCCCCCTGACCCCAGCCCCCCGCGGGTGGGCGCCTCCCATCCCTCCCATCCCTCCTGTCCCTCCTGTCCCTCTTTTATGCGGGCGGGCTGATGAATAGCCTGGAAGCAACTGCATAGGACAGAGTGCCTCGCCCCATTGCCAAGTCCATGAAATGGCCCGCTCTAGCCCAGCGCAAGTCGCAGAGTTTGTTCCGGCAGTTGTAGGTGAGACGGAGCTGTCACAGCTGGGCTGCGCAGTGCGTGCCTGCGGAATGGGCAGGCCCTGTCATGGATCCCCCAGCTGGGGCTTCGTGTGACACAGCCAGGAACTGGCAAGGTGCCTTGCAGCTGATGAGGCAATCCGTTTCTCCGAGCCACTGAGCCCACAGTCGGCGGGTGCTTTTGGATGTGCGCCAGGAGCGACGGCTGCGAGGAGCTGTGGAATGTGGCCATCTGGGCCTGCCAGGCAAGCGCGCTCAGCGTCAACTGCAAACCATAGCCGAGGTTCACGTTTTGGATCAGGCGATAAAACAAGTCGTCCATTGTGAGGTTTGCTTGCGTTTGTTTGTGTGTGCTGGGGCGCGGCATTGATCCAGCAATTCTCATGTGCTCAGTGTCAATTGATCTATGAATGTGGGGCAGGGCATTCCGAAATGGCAAGGCATCAGATGCTCCACAGCCGCTCTCACCTGAGCTCTGCGTTGTGTCTCTTCCAATGTAATACCCAACCTTTCCAGATGGGAGAGGTTGGCCTGTTCACATCTCGCAAAATGCTGTGCTGATGAGCTGGCCGTTGTGGCTACCAAGCATCATACTCGATGTCCAGCCTTTTGCATTTCTGAGACAAGATGTGACTGCACGAACTGGCCCTGCATCCGGCTCAAGAACCGAGTGCGACTTCACGGTTCGCAGTTTCAAGGCTGGGCATGGTGGAGGTGTTGCCATGAAAGTCCCCTGAGTGTCGTGGAAGCCTTCCAGGTGCTTGGTGTTCTGACCCTTTCCGCAAAAAGTGTCCGCCACCTCCCAACATAGGGTCTACGGTTGTTAGATTTTAGGTGACATCCAACCAGGGGTAAAAGGTTTATTTTGGCAAAGTTGCTTCTCGCGCTTTCGCCCGCCGTTATTTTCAAGAGCCGCGCTGACGCTCGATACTTTTGTTGAGAGGAAGAGCACCACCTTGAACAAGCGGAAAGTTGTGTTTAGCAAGGGTGACCCGCGCATTCTCGTGCCGCTTCGGGCCCTTGAGGCATAATGTCCGTGCACATGTGGAAGGCTCGGCGGGGTTTGGACAACAAAGCTCGGCAGAAACGTTCACCCGCGTTGGCGGGCGCATCAGGAGATCATGAGGTTGAAGAAGCAGGTACAAGAGCTACAAAAAGAGCTCGCGGCCACGAAGGCTTGGCTCGAGACCTGCATGCCGGGCAGGTCAGATGATGCGTTCGCTGTTCCTTTCGCCGTGAGGCAGAGCTGCAGGCTGGCCCGCAGATGGTCTGAGCCTCAGTGGAGCTGGTGTTTTTCCCCACATTCTTGCGTGGGGTTGTTATTTTTACCTCTGCGCACTCACTCACTCACTCACTCACTCACTCACTCACTCACTCACTCACTCACTCACTCACTCACTCACTCACTCACTCACTCACTCACTCACTCACTCACTCACTCACTCACTCACTCACTCACTCACTCACTCACTCACTCACTCACTCACTCACTCACTCACTCACTCACTCACTCACTCACTCACTCACTCACTCACTCACTCACTCACTCACTCACTCACTCACTCACTCACTCACTCACTCACTCACTCACTCACTCTCACTCACTCACTCACTCACTCACTCACTCACTCACTCACTCACTCACTCACTCACTCACTCACTCACTCACTCACTCACTCACTCACTCACTCACTCACTCACTCACTCACTCACTCACTCACTCACTCACTCACTCACTCACTCACTCACTCACTCACTCACTCACTCACTCACTCACTCACTCACTCACTCACTCACTCACTCACTCACTCACTCACTCACTCACTCACTCACTCACTCACTCACTCACTCACTCACTCACTCACTCCACTCCACTCACTCCATCATCCACTCACTCCACTCACTCACTCCATCACTCCACTCACTCACTCCACTCACTCACTCACTCACTCACTCACTCACTCACTCACTCACTCACTCACTCACTCACTCACTCACTCACTCACTCACTCACTCACTCACTCACTCCCTCCCTCCCTCCCTCCATCACTCACTCACTCACTCACTCACTCACTCACTCACTCACTCACTCACTCACTCACTCACTCACTCACTCACTCACTCACTCACTCACTCACTCACTCACCCACCCACTGACTCACTCACTCACTCACTCACTCACTCACTCACTCACTCACTCACTCACTCACTCACTCACTCACTCACTCACTCACTCACTCACTCACTCACTCACTCACTCAC